TTTGAGATATTCCATCGCTTTCATTGGCAGCACCCTCTTTTCCTCTCCTACTGGCCCAAATCCTGGAAATGTAGCAAATGCAATGAAGACAGCATCCCTGGATTCAAATACCACTGTTACAAGTGCTCCTACACTCTTGATCTCAAATGCGCTTCTTTGGCCCATATTTCACCTTTCTCACTTGAATCCACAGAGACAAACATCACCACTAGAAACCATTTCCTCCACCAAGAACACCAATTGATATCAGCAGACCTTACTACTCCTTTTGTAGGTTGTAATAAGAACACATGTTCTGCATGCCAGTTGCCATTCTCTGGTAATGATTCCCGTGCCTATTGTTGCATTGAATGTTTATTTTTCCTTCATGAATCTTGCCTTCATATGAAACCTGTTATGGAAAATCTCTCTTTCCACCCCCACTCTCTTGTTGCCCAGTTTGAGACATCAGTAGAGTGTGCTGTCTGTAAAATCAAATTCAGAGGCATCAGTTATTGCTGCAATCACAATACCTGCAACTTCTACGTCCATTTAACATGTGCCAGTCTTAAGTTGCCTGCTATAAGACACAAGTGCCACAAAGAACACAATCTCTTTTATTTTATGATTTCAGCCAAAAAACAGTCCTTTCCTTGTGATGTTTGCTATTTCAACTGCAATGGATCTTTCTACCGTTGTGTCATTTGTGATATCAATTTCCATTTTGAATGTATTCCGCTGCCTCAGACGGTACTGAAATACAAAGGTCACAGACATGGACCACTTACATTTGTGGATAGGCTTGTTGAAGATGGTGCTGAAGAGTTTTATTGTGCCAATTGTGAAGAACCAAGAAACCCTGAGCGTTCTATATATTACTGTGAGGTATGCCCACATGAAGCTGATATTCACTGTGTCATGGGTGAGGTAAGTCCAAGTTTATTGTCTTTTAGCAATGATATTATTTTCTTTCCTAATTAGAGGATCTGAACATATTAGCATTATCAGGAAGGAAAGACATTGGAGGTAGGATCATACATGGTTTCAAAGTTCAAGCATTTCAGCAGCGGACACAGCTTGGTTTTACTGAAAGGGGAAGCTGAGGGACTACTTTGTAGTGGTTGTGATCGTAAAATCATCTCAAGTCCGGCATATGGTTGTAGGGATTGCCCTTTTTGCTTGCACGAGTCATGTGTGAATCTTCCTACTGAGATATCCCACCGTTTTCACAAGCAGCACCAGCTCTATCTCTCCTACCGAGCCAAATCCTGGAGATGTTACAACTGCAATAAAAGCAGCCCCCCTGGTTTCAGATACCAGTGTCACAGCTGCTTCTATGCTCTTGATCTCAAATGTGCTTTGACCAATGTTCCTCCGTCCTCGCCAGAATCCATGACTCCCTTCTCCCATTTCCTCCACAAAGAACATCAACTGATCCTTAAAGACTTCAGCACTTCTCAGGATCGCTTGACATGCTCCTCATGCCGGTTACCCTTCTTGGAGGACAGTTCCCTTGCCTATGGTTGCGTTGAGTGTGAATTTTTCCTTCATAGATTTTGTTCTGATATAGAGGAGACTATTGACAACAAATATTTTCACCCTGCTCACCATCTTAGAGCCCTCAACACCAATTCATTTGTGAATTGTGCTGCCTGTAAAACCAAATTCAAAGGTGTCAGTTATTGCTGCAATACATGCAACTTCCACCTCCATGTAAAATGTGCTGAGCTTCAGTTGCCTGCTTTAAAACACAAGTGCCACCAAGAACATTTTCTCTATTATTTTGTCAATTCTAACCAGAATAAGTACTTTACTTGTGATGTCTGCTATTTCAACTGTGAAGGATCATTCTACCGCTGTGTCATATGTGATATCAATTTCCATTTTGAATGTATTCCATTGCCTAAAACGGTATTGGAATACAAACATCATAGACATGGACCTCTTACTTTAAGGGATGAGGTAGGTGCTGATGCAGAGAAATATTGCAGCTCTTGTAAAGAGCTTAGAAATCCAGAGCATTCTGTGTATTACTGTGAGGATTGTTCGCATGCAGCTGATATTCAATGTGTCATGGCTGAGGTGAGTTCAAGTTTCATTATCTTTTAGAGAAGGCCAGCTTGCAAATAATAACTTCTTTCCTTTTTTGGGGGATTTGGGTAAAGAATTAAAAATATGAAAATTATTAGGTACTTACCTTGCACTTGCAAAAGTTATGCGTGTAGCAAAAATTGGTTTTCTAATTAGAACATATTTGCATTATCAGGAAGGAAAGACATTGAAGGTGGAATCGTACATGGTCTCAAAGCATGAGAATGCCAAGTTAGAGCATTTCAGCCACCAACACCGCTTGGCCTCAGATGTAAGGGAAGCACTGGGACGCTACTGCAATGGCTGTGATAAAATCATCTTAGGTCCAGCCTATGGTTGCAAGGATTGCCAATTTTACTTGCACAAATCATGCACTGAGTTGCCATTCGAGATATCCCACCCTTTTCACCAGCAGCATTCTCTCTTCCTCTCATACTGGCCCAAAACTTGGAAATGTGATAAATGCAGTGACCAAAGTACTCATGGCTTTAAGTACAGTTGTTACAAGTGTCATCCAGCAATCACTCTTGATCTTAAATGTGCTTATGAAATTATCCCAATTGCAGAGAAGCAAGTGGTAGATACCAGTCAAGAAATTGTTGTGGATGAGCTTGTCAAAATCATCAGCAACCTCCGCGCTGAGTTGAGACAGAGGGAGCAAAGCTAGAGCTGAAGTGAAACTCGGGAAAACTTCCCAACACATCTAAATACTACTACACATCTTTAGTGCCTTTCCCCCATTTTTTATCCATGTGTTGCCTTTTGCAGTATCATGGGATAATACTGCTTTTACTCACGTTAGAAAGTTATTGCCTGTCATCTAACTCGGTATTCACAAAGAGAATAAACAATTTTCATCAAGCTGGTCTATTATAACTATTTCTATGGCTATTTTGTTAAGCTGAATCTGTCTTGAATATTTTCCAAGCTTTTTTTCTTTATCTAGTAAGTAACAATCAGAGGACAAAATCCTAAGGTATGAAGCAGCCATTTAGAACACAATTCAAATTATCCAGTCACAGACATGCATAGTAGACCTGGTTTGGCGCTAACAACTAACAAGACACAAAAACTTAAACACAGCTTCACAACAAATGATCTGAACTGAGTTCAGTCATTTTTTTGTGCTGTCATCTTCTTCTACTTCTTTGACAAATGCGCTATGTACTAGCAGACCTTTCTTCCATTCATTAGACCACACTTCATAAATGCCAAAATAAAGCATGGGGTCCGAAGCTGATGTTGGAACTTCAATTTCAAATGGATTGCTATCATCTGGTACATCAATTGGTCCCTTTGGCATGCCCTCCAGTTCCTTCAGCCTTTTCCAGCTGTACTGCCCCCTTTGCCCTATCTTCGCCATCAGGAAAATAGGATGGGCGTGCCAACCATATGACCCTCCATTGAAACCCAGCTTGAAAGTAATGCTATATTTCTTTCCAGGAATTACTGGTAGTGAACCAGTTAATTGAAACCACATGATAGAAATCATTTCTGCAGGACCCTCCCTACCAAAAAAGGAAAAAGAAAAATGATTCATAAAGTAAATGCTAATCATAAAGCATAAGCAGTTGGATTTGCTCAAACAGTTGAAATAATGTATGTTTCTTCTCATTCCTTTTTCCCCTATGACAAAGGTGTATGAATATGACTAGCTAGCATGAAAGCAGAGAATATTTTCATAGCATATGAATGATATCTCTAGTAGTTTGATGGCTTGAAGGGTATAGGACAATGGATGAAATAAAAATATGCACGACTCCCATTAGCATCTTTAAGAGAATATAATGTTTTGAGTCTATCTTATATCTAAACGCTAGTCAACAATATAAGTAACTCAATAGTAATCTCCTTCAAATTGAAGCAATAAGTCCTTAACTGAGTTATATGACATGCAGAGTGGGGTGGGTTAAAGGGATGGGTGAGGGTTGCCTCCCATTGTGCAACCTAAGATCAAAAAAATTATCTAAACTCTAGAGTGAGGCAAGTAGAGGGTTAGGAAAAAGAGTAATTTTATTTGCATCACTTATCAATGAAGAAAAAATAAAAAACAAAAAACAAATAACTGCTACTGCTTTCTGCCCTGTTCTGTTCTTGGAAAGTTTTCGTACATATAAACATAGAAATAAGAAAAAGATAGCCTCACCAGGTGTGGACTGGAATGCGCCAATGTTTACTTTCATTTCCCCATACCATGTTAAATGCTCTAGGTGTAAATAAGTAACCTCCATCCTGCATACAGAGAATATTTTGATCTTAATGTTTTGATGTTTTTCTCTTTCAATAACTATTCTCTATATCAAGAGGGACGATCAAAACATAAGTATTTAAGGAGAGTAAAAATTTTTTAATTTGCAGAACTCTTTCATAATCATTGCTGTTATATGTGCCAGTTTTACCTCCATCCTCACTGTGCCAATTCTGAGAAGCTAATCCCCACCTTGAAACACAACTGCCATGAACAACACAATCTGTACTATTTTATGTCAGACAATGATGGCTTGTTTAGATGTCATGTCTGTGATAACAGCTGCGTTGGTTCTTTCTATCGTTGCGTAGAGTGTGATGAAAACTACCATTTTGAATGTATACCGTTGCCAGATTCGATACTGAAATGTAAATTCCACAAGCATAAACCGCTTGTCTTCAAGGATGTGTATGCCGAAGAAGAATATAGCGAAGATCATTTCTGTGATGCTTGTGAGGATTTGAGGAATCCAATTTACTCTCTATATTTCTGTGATGAATGTCTTTTTGCAGTTGATATTGCATGTATGCTGTCTGAGGCATAAGCCCTTTATTCTCCTCACTTCTTTTAAGTAGAAGAATTCATTCTCTAAACATGGGAAACTTTGCTTCTTTGTTTTTTCAGAAAGATTCAAAAATGGAGGTGTTGGAACACATGGCTCCACGGCAAAAGATTGTGAAGCTTGAACATTTTATCCATGCACACCCCATATGTGACGAGCAAGGGGAAGGGAATAAACCCCTGCAATGGTTGTTCTGAGTTGATCACTGGCCTGGGGTATGGTTGTCAAGACTGCAACTTTCACATGCATGAATCGTGCTTACAGTTAGCCTTTGAGATTAGGCACCCTTACCATAAGAAGCACCCACTCTTCCTGAGGATCCTAAATGGTCAATTTAACTGCAGCAAATGCCATAAAAAGTGTATCGGCTTCACCTACCATTGTGAAATGTGTTCCTTCACCCTTGATTATGAATGTATTCAATCGACAAAGCAGGAGGAGGAGGAAGAGGAAGAAACAGAAGCTCAAGGGAGTGATACAGGGCATGAAGAAATTGATGCAAAAGAACGAACTATTGCTCAGCTTACAGAAACAATCCTCGGCCTTCGGATTGAGGTTGAAACATTGAGAGAGAAAGTATATTTATTGACAACAGAAAGGGATGCCATCAAGGAAACACTTCCCAACACATCTACACGATCTTTGAGCTTGCGGGAGTGAGTTTTTGTTTATGCATTGAACTTTGTTAGGGATTTACCCATCTGTATATAAGAATGTTTGTTTCTAGACTTGGGGAGATGTTTGGTAGGTCTTTCGATGGGTTTTCCCATTACTTATCATGACAAGGATGTGAATGCTCACAATGGTGCTTGTAATCTGAATTTCAAACCGCGTTTTTGTTCAGCACCTCATTAAAAATATTAATTCATTATAATTAAATTAATTTTAATTAATTTTTGTATAATTTAAAAATTATACTAATATATAACATTATTTTAAAATAATTAGCAAATAATAACAAAAATTTTTTTATAATCAAATATCCAAAAAAACCAATGCGTCGCAGCATTCTCGAAAAGATCCTGGTGATGAGATTGTCTGGACTGTCAATGCAAAAGCATTTCCCTTGTTTTACAAGGGAAAACAGTAAATTGAAACTTCATTCCCGAATGCATTTCAATTCAAGTTTAGAACCAAATCATGATGGACAACTCACCAAGAGTAGCAAACCAGCAGCAGAAATGAGATCAGAATTTCTTTTTATATATTGTGCGGCACTGACTGTTGTTCACCTTAATGCAGAACTCCATGTCCACAGAAGTCTCGAATTTCTGTTCTTCATTGCCATTGAACCCAAAATGCACTCATAAAACACCGAAGACGAGGGCAGCTCAAGCATAGCCATTGTAAAAACTAAAAGGATATGAAACGATGCATTATTTGCTTTATTAGCCATGGCATCATGGTTTACAATCTAATAATCATTTTTTTTAATCAGCTACAATCTAAAAATCTATAGTTCTACACCACAAGCTAAGCACTAACTTCTTTGCAACCAAAAAATAAAAAAAAGGGTTCCAATCTATAAGAGTTAAAAGAGGACCAAGCTAAAAATTATTATCCTCAATGCATTAGTTCTTAACCACAACTTTACTGTCACATCATTGATTGATCGAATAATACTAATATTTGCTAAAGAGGAAAAAAAAATAAAAAAGGAACTCTCTTAGAGAACAAAGATGAGACAGGCAGTATGAACAGGCATATAAAAATTTTTCCAATAACATAAATTACTTCAGGAGAATAGAGAGAGAATCGGCAGCAGTCCTCCCTGGACGAAGTTCCAGTAGGCAACAACTGAAACAACTTCATATTTGCCTCCGGAATTGAACGCTATTGTGACCCTAACACTGGCATAAAAGTAAACCCAGATCACTGTTACAGGTTGGCTTGGAAAATTAATCCCTTATGAATAAAGAGCAGCATTTGTTAATAAATTATTTACCCACAAAAATGCAGAAGTGCATATTATGGAAAAAAAAACCTCCAAACAGTACCATCAAGTGCACTAGCTTCAAATTATCAATAAGCATTGACTGACATCCTTGATATATTAGCACATTTTTCCTTTTTGTCAATGTTGAAATGTTAATGAAAACAAAGAAACAGAGTCAAATTCTTTTAGGAGTATAAGAGGCTATATTCTTCGCTTATTCTGCTTAATTTACTCTATTTTTAGTTGCAAAAACATTCCTAATGTCTCCCAGAACACAACTAGCAAGAGAGAAACAAGCGATTTGAGAGGAGCAGGCTGCCTCTAGGTTGACAAACCAAATCTTAGTACATCAGACCTGAAACAGAACTCAATAAAATGGGGCCACCACTAACATCCTTGAAAAGTGACATTAAAATGCTGAAAGCCAGATAAAGTTGACAGACTGAGCAGATTGACCATACCCATGAGAAATCATCCCCCCAAAAAGTTAAGCAGCCACAAACCGAAGACAGTAAAAGAACTCTTAAACTTATTCACAAATTCCCCAATAGCACATCTTTGAACAGTGACGAGGTTTTGGTTGGCCAAAGACCATTATATCTTGTTACTGTGATTAAAACAACTAAACAAGAGACACCATTAGGTCATTGTTAAAAACACCATATGAATAAAAGAAATAATGGTGGGTGTTTTGATACAAGAAGGCCTGTAACATTCTTGACTTCAGAAAATAGTGAAACATAAAGCAGCTTCACCCTCCCAAACCATGAAGAGAATGCATGATGATGATATGAAGCCATGAGCAACCACTTTATACAGGTGATGAACTTACTAGTAATTGCATTTTCTCTCTTCAAATTCATTGTCAATGTTGTCCACGGCTTTTGTTCATAGAGTGCCTTCGAAGGAGCTTCTTTCCAGAGGTCGGTTGATCATCCTGCAAGAAAATAGTAAATTGAAAACTGAGGCTGGCAGAAATAATCATTTTCTCTCTCTGTTATAAATTTTTTCTTCAAGATACCCAAAGGAAAAGAGGGAGGAGGTGCAAGAGGTGAAGTGAGAGACAAAAGTTGCAGGTTCCAGCGTTATACCTTGTACAAAGATGCTGCTGACTCGGACTCTATAGTCTGGGCTGGAATTTGCCCCAAGGATCGCAAGGCATCCAGTGCATCCAAGGTCAGTTGCCATCCACAAAGCGCAACAGCATCAGCACTGGTGCTAGAACTAGAGCTACTACAGCCAGCAGCAGCAACATTTCCATTCACCCATGGGCAGAACTGGTTGTGATGTATTATTGGATCAAATTCTACAGATTCTTCATAGTTGCTTTCTCCTTTTGGAGGCCCTGAAAATTAGGTATTTTTCAAAACACATATATAACAGAAAAAGGGAAGGAAAATGAAGCCAAAAAGAAATGACTACTTAACAAAGAAACAAAAGCCTTTTCCAATTTAAACCTCCAAAATAAATGCATTGAAACCTCGCTACCACATTACTAATTCCAGCCTAAACTAAATTTATACAAAGGAAAAGTCAAGAGAATTTGAGCAATGTAAGCTAGACTCAGAGCAGTTCCCTTTCAAGCAGAGAAAACCCTGTTGCCAGTCAAACATTACAGATTCAATAATTCAAGGAAAGAATATTATAATGAAAGTTAAAATGTCTTTACAATCCTCAGATAACTCACACTGAGTGCCTTTCAGTAGTAGGCCAGATTAACAAAATGTCAGGCTAAAACAAGAAGTTGATGATATATTGACAATGAAAGAAACATCAGACTCAGAACATATGAGAAATTTGTTGGAAGCTGTCATACTTCCTTAATAGCATGAACTACTATTAATTATTAAACTCTGAAAGTCAGGTAATTTATGCATTCAGCACGACATCATGATTACTTTAAAGCATTGAAAATTGCATAGCAAGCACACATTCAAAAATGAAAACGACTAAGTTTGTAAAAGTAATAAATAATAGGATACAGCAATCTTCTGAAGTTTAAACCATAAATGCTAGATGTCGGACTGTCACTTCATTTAAAATAAAAGGGAATTTTACAAGTAAACACAAAACTATTATTATAGTTCAGATCTAGCCAACCTGGCAGATAGAATTTACCTAATCCATTTGCAACAGCATAGTCTGACTCAAAGTAAGGACCATTGTTTATGGATGCTGATTTTCCGACTTCTGCAACCTCTTTCTTATTTGGTTCATAACCAGAGTTAATATTAGCATTGCAGGAGAGAGAAGGGTGAGCATTACTCCCCAAGGCTAACTTGCAGCTTTGACTTATCTTTTCACCACTTTCAACAGAGTCTGCCTTGGTAGATCCATCAACTTTTGAACCACTGTCAGCCCTCCCAACAGAGCGAGACAACATCTCCTGGCTGTCACCATGAGGATCTTCCCTATTTAGATCATCGGGGACAATCTCATCCATCAACCCAGGATCTGGTACAGATTCACCAGTTTGACCCTGAATTTCAGCATCCTCTACCCTTGGTTCCACATCACCAACAACACTTTCTGTTCTATGCACAGAAACATCTGCCCCATGGATTTCAGCCTCATGGCTGGCACACATACCAACACTTCCCCCACTAATTCCAAAGCTAAATCCATCCCTAGCCTGAGCTGTCACTGTTTCTGCATTGAAAATTTCTTCACCATCATTTGTACTACTGATGCCCATTTCTCCAGGAATTGCTTCAGCAGCTGGTTGGAAACAAATACTCTGCTGAGCTTGATTACTATAATTGAGTTCTGATGTGTCATTCATGTCGAACTGACCATAGGTACTAGAAGAGGGAAAATGAACATCATCAACATTACCAGGATAGTTTTCAACACTTTCCATAGAGTCATCATCTGCACTGTGACACACTGTATCCATGGCAATGACAGATGATGCACGTGTAGCAGAGGGGACACCCATACCATGTTCACTTGCTTGCCTAAACAAACCAACTCTGTTGCCATCTGCATAAGTTTCAAACCCCATGGAATGGCTTGGGCCAGCACCAGATGAGTCTCTTGGATATGATGAACAGTGAGTATCAAAAACATCAGAATCACAGGCACGTTTTGAAGGCCCAGCAGAATATTGTCTACAATCATTGACTTCGTCACCATCACGATCAACAACAGTTCCTTCAACACTATCAGCCTGCTGAATCTGTAACTGAGGCCTGCCATTCGAGCTGGCACCTAATTCCAAGCTTCGTTTGCGAGAACTAGGACCTCGTGATTCATATGAAGCTGCTCGGTCACCGACCTCACTTCCTGATGGTTGCCCTATCATTAGATCCCGCCCCATATCCACATCATGCATATTTTTGGATGTTGCAATCCTGCCCAAGTGAGTAGAAGACAGACCCCCTGCCATTGTGAGATTCAAATCAACAACTGTTTCTTGTGTTGATTTTCCCCCATCAGTTGTTGCCACTTCAGCACGGTCTTCAAACTGTTCTTTCTCTGGATCATCTGCAGCGACCCAACCGCTAATTCCACTGGCTGCACTCACCCCACGTGTCAATCCCATTTTTTTACTTGCATCAGGAATATCAATACTGCTGGGAGCAAAACGAGCAGGTCGAGGAACAACTAAGAAATCCAATATCCTGACAGTAGCACCACACAAGCTACAGTCTAATAAAGGTGATCTTGATTCATATCTAGACTCCATTGGTAATGCTTTATTCATTCCAGTGCCCTTTTTAGCTGAAGCAGAGAGTGGATTTTTGCTTGGTCCAGGGTCATGTGAATGATGAGCATTGGCTGTTGCAGGGCCAAAAGATTGTCCATTTCTAGCTGACTGTGCAGAATGTTCTTCACAGTCTTGAACATTTGGAAGCCATCTCGGTTCCCATCCACACAAACTTATAAGCTTTTGCGACTGCAAAAAGGATAAGATAGAAAGCAAAAAATGAACTTAGATAGCAGAGAAGCAAAGGTAAGAACCAGCTAGGAGAAGAGTATAAAAACATCTTACACGAGAATATTGATAGAATGAGCCATCCCTAGAATTTTCAAGTTCCAGTACATTCTCTGATCTCCATTCTACCTCAATTGTAAAATTCAGTGGCTGAGTCAGAAATCGATCAATCTGTGGACTCCGAGACACCTGCATCTGCTCAATTGCAGATGCAGCTATGACAGGAAGAAATTGAAATTGCAAAAGTCCATCACATCTATCCTTGTATCCTGCAATCAGGGCAGACTGAGGAGTAGGTGGGAACTGCACCAGACTTTCTGGGCAGCTGTTTCCTCTCCAGGGGCAATTGATTTTATGCCCAGCATCAAGCTGTTTGGAAAAGGCTTCAACTGCATCTTCTACTGCATCCAGAAAAATATTCCGAAAAAAGAAAATGAATAAAACCTAAACAGCTGATAAAAGGCTAATGAAAAGCCAAAGCCATTTGCATTTCTTAGGATAGAATAAGAAGAAAACATATATAATACCAAATAAACAATACTAACCTTCAGAAGGAGCCAATGATGGTGATGATGTGAAAAACTGCAAGCATGCACTGCATGATTCACATGCAATTTTATCAACATCAGTATTCATCCAACCTCTCTGAGCACAGGCCAATGAACTGGCAACCTGCAATAAATTCAAGCAGTTAATGTCATAAGATTATATTAAGAAAATTTCATATCAATATGGAAAAAATGAATCCAAGGGTACAGAGCACTAGAATTGACGACTAAGCATAAATTTCCTAGGATTTCGAAAGTTAAAAGTCCATCTATGGGGAATAAGGGTTTCTAAGCATGTGTACGAATATCTACAAACTATTATCTAAAATATTCTATCAAATGACAGCCCAACCAGAGGATTTTGGTGTAACTTGTCAGAGGCTCTCTTTCATGCCATAGCAAAAATGAGTAATTCACATACCAACATCAAGAAGTCTTGGCTGTCATTTGTTCTGTTTTTCTTCAATTTACATCTAATTCCTTTTAAATTTCAATAGGAAGATAGTTCACTATCTTCTGACCAACGGGCTTTATATGGGTCCAATTCATTAAAATATGACTCCTATGCTTTTGGAAGTTAAGCTACAGAAACAGTTTCTTACATGCTTCCATTCAGGAAAGCTAAAGTGCAACAATATTCAAGAAGCAGGGATAGAATGCAACTCTAATATCATCAACTTCATTTTTGCAACCAAAGAGCCATTTAGGACACAACAGAAGTATGCAAAATCAATTAATTGCTTGCAATGAAGCATCACAAAGTGAAGTAAGCGCCACCAATATAAACACAAATCCAGAACTCTCACTACTATTTGCAATTGAAAAGAGCACCATATCTTCTTTTTTTTTTTTTTTTGGCCAACACAGAAGCATCATATCAAACATAATTATCTTAAAATTAATCACATCAAGTTCATACCTTGGGCTTCCCAAACCAATTAGAAGGCTTGAAAGTAGACAATCGCCTAAGAAGATCCCCTCTTTCCCAAGGTCTGCATGAAGGTCTTGATGATCCAAGGGCAGACCCAGAACCAACAAAAGATTGAGAAGCTGCTTTGGAATTATGTCCATGCCCAGACCAATCAATACTTCCAAAATTAGTTGGAACAGCTGGTGAGGATGCCCCAGCAGAACTGGAAAGAGAGAATCCACACAAAACATAAAAACTCAGGATTCTCAAAGAGGCATCATGAAAATGATTTTAAATATAATCTATGAAA